AAAAATATTATAAATTTTTTTTCTTTCAAAAAAAAAAATAAAACAACGAGTATAAAAGTTTTTTGTGCGTGAAAAAGAAACCGTATAAAATTTAGTAGAAAACATGTTGTTGTTGTTGTTGTTGTTGATTAATGTTGAATAATTGTTGTTGAGAAGAGGAATCATTTGAATGATGATGGTCAATGAAATCATATTCTTCATCATCAGCAATATAATAAGAGAAAGGAGAGTCAATTGGCATGTTCTCTTGATAGTTGAAGGTTGTAGGAAGATCAAGAGCATAGAAATCATTTTGAAGTTCGGTTGTAGAAGGCAAAGAATTATTATATAGTCCATTCCAATTATTTTATTTTTTATTTTTTTAATTTTTTTTTTAATTTTTATTATTATTTTTAGACAGTAATCGTCATTGTTTCAAGCGTATTTTTAACGATAAAAGATTAATTTAGGTATTTTTATCAAAGAATGAAAAAAACCTTTGTTATTGATTTGACACGATTGATAATAATAGACACCTGCCTAACTGGTCGTGTTCAATAGAATTATTGGAACGTTAGAATATTAGAATTTCACTCTATTCATTTATTGATAATTGTTAAAAAACCAATCAAACAATGAATGTAACAATAGAAAATTAAAATTGTTGGTTTGTGTTTATGATACACACAAAAAAATCAATTTTGATCGGATTAACTATTTCGCAGGGTCGAGACTTAATTAACTGATCAAATCTTATTATAATCAAATCATGAATCAGTTTAACATCATAATAATTGCAAAACATAAAACATAATACATTTGTGCTGATGTTTTTTCTTGGGGTTTTACCATCAAATACAAAGACGTTTACGTTGTTAAAAATTATTGTTTTTGCTGCAAAACGGAGCACAGGCAAGGGAAAATGATTTTTAAAGGTTGAATAAATGAATGGTTGGGTAAAATATTACGAGCGAGAAGATTGATTAGAAGACGAGAGTTGGATTATTTACACAAAAGTTTAAAAATTAACGTAATACTGATGATTAAATGTATTAAGCTGTACAGTTTATTTTTCGATTTTATTACGTTATATTTGTGTTTATTTTTTATTCTATGTGGAAAAAAAGTAAATCAATATTGAATAATCATACCAATTATACTAATTTCAGCCTTTAATATAGTAAGATGGATGGGATCGAATAAGTGTAACAATTTAAACGAGTGAAATGGCAGAGCTTGTAACACCTGGAAATTCGTTTAACATTATTATCTAAATAAATAAAACCTGATTGGACCTGTTATTAACATTTAATAAGTTAATGGCGATATTGTTTGTTTTACTTTTACAGTTTTATTTACCACATGTACAATTTAAAGTGGAGAAACATTTTAACTTTTAAAGATTTTCATTAATATTAACAAGATAGTATATGGTAATACGTAATATGCCGTCTAATTATTATAATGATAATATTTGGTAATTTCTGAATAAAACTGTTTTTGATATTTTTTTCGCACGTTTGAATTTTTGAAATTCAAAAAAGACAAAGAATTCTGAAGAAATGAATAGGAATATTTAATTAGTTGTTAAATTAATTGAAATATAAATAAATTATATATTTTATAACTTTTTTTTGTTGGACATAATAAATAAATAACATCTACCAAAATACATTTACTTAAAATGTCAGACAGGACAAAATATATTAATTATTTAATTATTTTATCAATTAATTTCGTGTAACCAACAATTTTGTATAAAATTACATGATTAATAATTTTTTCTCTTTTCAGTCTAAATTTTGCGATTTACTTTTCTTGTTGAACAAGTTTTTTTTTTTCAAAAATTATATTTGCATTTTCCTTTTCTAATAAAAATTATTTTCTTTTTTAAAATAAATAGAAAAAATAAACAACGAGTTATAAAAATTCCTACTTCTTCATAACAAAAAAAACTAAATTCTTTATTCCACTAAAAAGCATATTCAAAATGTCTTATACTCATATTCCTTCTAATCAATCATCAGATTCATTGTTTGAATCATTATCTGTCTCAACTACACCAACACCAACTTCACCAATTTTTGAACATACGCAATCATTATCATCATCATCATCATTATCACCATCATCGTCATCATCATTAACATCTTCACCATTATTCAATCCTTCACCAATTGTCGTTACAACGACAACCACCACATCCACATCACCATCAAAACTTCGTCAAATTGCCCCCGCTCCTCCATCCAACAATGAATATGATATCAATGATAATGAACAATCATCAGAATTCGAAGTATACCATATTCCAAAAGGTTATGAGGTGTTGTTGGTTCCTAGAGATGATTCAAACTTGTCACCTGTGAACATTTTGGCCACCACAAAACGTATTTCACCTGCTACCGCTGCTGATAATTTAAAAATTCAACAGCAAAAGACCTCCACATTATCTACTTCTTCTAATGGTAGCAACAATAGTTCATGGCGTAGACGTAAACAAAATGGTCATATCCCAAGACCAAAGAACTGTTTCATGGCCTATCGTGAACACATCCAACACGAGAGCCTTTCACAAAACCCCGGAATGAATAATAAGTATGTCAGCGTCGTCGCTGCTGAAAAGTGGAATAAAGAATCCGAAGAAACCAAAAACATTTAGCGTGAAAAAGCTCAATTGATAAAAATTGAACACGAGCTTAAATATCCAAACTACAAAATTGCCCCAAAAAAGAAAGAAACAAAAAGAGCAGCC